GTGGGACCATGAACTGTCTATACCATGGGTCCTGAGCAGGACCATGGACCATCTACACTGTGGGCCCCTGGACTGTCTACACTGCAGTCCTGGGTGGGACTGTCTCACTCACCGCTCTTACAGCACTTTGCAGGGAGGCAGAATGCAAACTACAGAGAAAGTGCTTAACAGAAAGTTGTAGAAGGAATGGTACTTTCGGCAGGCACGGCTATTTCTAGAGCTGGCTTTTGGCACCTGGCTATGCTCCTTCCTGCCCACAAGAGCCAAGCAGAGGCCTGCCACCCCAAGCTGGGCCAGGTACCCCCTTGGCCGGAACCTACCATCTTCAGAAGCATGCGGATCCCCAGCCTTGCTATCTGCCTCTTCAGCTCCTCCGGAACGCCCGCCTGCTGGTAGCAGGACACAGGCACGCTCTCCTGAGGAAAGAACAGGAAGAGAGAGCTTCACAGGGCAGCCCTGTTGCAGACCGTGTGTAGACTATACAGGCCGCAGGCTCTGAGGAACAAACGAGGCCACAGGCAGTCATGGCAAATTGTTTTTCATCTTAGTATTCGGTTATGTTTATAATTAAATGCAGACATGAGCCCTTATTATCCACAGAGAAATATTAGAACCTCCTAAAGCCGAGACTAAAGGTTTCAAAGGTCAAGCCTTTCTCCAAAGGATTAACTAAAAATATCTTAGCTACTTTGCAGTTCTTTGTTCTACAGACAAAAAAGCCATCTTCCCTAAATCTGTCCCAAGCATTAGCTTTTCAGCCAAGTTCCTGAAAACCTGGCTCAGGAAGCCGAAACAGCGGGACTCCGCCCAAGCCTTTTGTCCTTACCTCTCACCTTCCCCCAACTGAGCTCAGGGGCTATAGATATGTTAATTGAGCCTGAGAAACCAAGTTGCGGGCCTGGGATTTGAACCAGCGAAGTACAATGTAAAGTTACCTGAATGTCTGGGAAATTACTGATGTTAGCTGTACCTTGTCTTAGTCCCTCCCAGCTTGGTGTGAAGCTCCTCCCCTAAATAAAACAGAGGCCCAGGTCGGCCCAGGTGTGCATTACGGGTTGGAGGGCATGCAGTAAAGATTGCAGTGCATTACAGGTTGGAGGGCATGCAGTAAAGATTGCAGGGCAGTGAGTTGCTGCCTGCAGAGACCACGAGGCCTGTACTCCCAAGTCTGCCCACCAGTGATGTATCCACCCTGGCTTTGGGGTGTCTCTTTGTCTCCTTCCTTCTGTCTGTCTATGTATTCTTTCACTATCCCTATCACCGCCGGATATCCCCTCCTCGTGAACCAAACACTCGTGAACCAAGTTCCTATGTCGAGGACAGTCCCCGACACAGCCCGACACCACACTGTCCTGCCCTGCCCTTCCCTAGCCCCTCTCAATCTGTTCCCACCAGATTGTGCTCCTGAGGAGGCATCACATGTGCTGGCAGAGAGGAGATGAGAGTCATGGGAAAGGCAGACATAGGCAAAGGTACCCTGGTTCCCAAGCCCAAATCAGTCAGTCAGGCTGTGAACGGGCCTGACATCTTGAGCAGGCCAAAAAGGAGGAAAGAAAAGAGCCTAATGAGCGAGCATTCATCTTTAAAAAGAACATTTCAGGACCTACATCTGTGGGAAGAGGTGGTGGGAAAGGTCCGTATCATCAGCCAAAACCAGGCCAGGGGCAGACTGTGGAACACACCATCAACTGTTCAGATGTAGGTTCATGCTAAAGCTAAAGAAAATGAAAACAAGGCCATGAGAGCCAAAATAATATCTTGAATATATCCCATCTAAATACAGAAGCCATCTCAAAACAGATTGGATGCATTAGGCACTAATGATCGGAACCAGAAGAGTTGTGGGATGACATCAAGCACATCATGCACAAAGAAAACAAAACGTCATTTAAAAAGACAAAAGACCAAAATGGAAGCCAGAAGAGACTCGACAACTTGCTTTTCAGCATAGATGTGCTAAAGCACATGGAAGAAATGAGGAAGTCAAAGGGCAGTTCGAGAAGACATGTCAGGTATTATAATGAAATGTGCAAAGACCTAGAATTAGAAAACCAAAAGGGAAGGACACGCTCAGCATTACTCAAACTGGAAAAAACTGAAGAAAAAAATCCATGAAGGATTCCATGGGAGTCCTGGTGTGGCACTGTGGGCTGATGCACTGGATTGCAAAGTCAGTTTGAACCACAAGGTTGATGGTTCAAGCTCACCAGCCACTCCTTGAAAATCCTATACAGGGTCACTATGGGTCTGAACCGACTTGATGGCACTTAACAACAACAACCATGGGCACAATATTCAATGATGCAGAAAGAAACAAAAGGAGATGTTAGGAATACACAGAGTCATTGTACCAAAAGGAAACGGTTGGTATCCAACCATTTCAAGAGACAGCATATGATCAAGTCCAAGGTGCACTGAAGGCGTTAACAAAGAACGAGGCTCCAGCCTTGACAGAACATAAATTGAAATCTTTCAACAAACCCATGCAGCACTGGAGGTGCTTCCTTATCTATGCCAAGAAATTTGGAAGACAGCTCCCTGGCCAATCGATGGGAAGAGCTCCATATTAGTGTCCATTCCAAAGAGAAGTGACCCAACAGAAAACAGAATCATCAAACAGTATCATTAAAATCACATGCAGGTAAAATTTTGCTCAAAACCAGCTGCAACAATATATTGACAGGGAACTGCCTGAAACTACAGCCTGACTCAGAAGAGGATGCTGAACGAGCGATATCACTGCTGACGTCAGATGGAGATTGTCTAAAAGTAGGGAATGCCAGAAAGATGTTTACTTGTGTTTTATTGACCATGCAAAGCTTTTCGATTTTGTGGATCATGACAAGCTATGGATAACATTGCAAAGAATAGATATTCCAGAACACTTGATTGTGCTCATAAGGAACCTGTGCGTAGACCAAGAGGCAGTCATTCTAACAGAACAAATGGATACTGAATGGTTCAAAATCAGGAAAGGTGTGTACCAGAGCTGTATTCTTTCTCCCTACGCTTTTTCAGCTTGTATGCTGAGCAAATCATCAGAGAAGCTGGATTACATGCAGAAGACTGTGGCATCAGGATTGGAGGAAGACACATTAACAACCCGCAATGCACAGATGATACAACCGTGCTTGCTGAAAATGAAGACTTAAAATACTTACTGATGAAGGTCAAAGACCACAGCCTTCAATATGGATTGTACCGCAATGCAAAGAAAACAAAAATCCTCACTATTGGACCAATAAATAACATCATGATCAATAGAGAAAAGACTGAAGTTGTCAAAGACTTCTTTTTGTTTGTATCCACAATCAACACTCATGGAAGCAACAAACTGTCAAGAAATCAAGTGACTTATTGCATTAGGCAAATCTGCACAAGACCTTTTTAAAGTGTTCAAGAGCAAAGATGTCAGCTTGAGGACTAAGGTACACCTGACCCAAGACACGGTATTTTCAATTGCATCATATTGCATATGAAAGTTGGGCAATGAATAAGGAAGATCATAAAACGACATAGTGTTGGAGAATTATGAAAGTACCATGGACTTCCAGAAGACCAAATCTCCTTAGAAGCCAGGATGGCCAGACTTTGCCTTTATACTTTGAACATATAATCAGGGGGGACCAGACCCTGGAGAAGGACCGTTTGCTTGGTAGAGTGGAAGGTCAGCAAAAAAAAAGGAAGACTCCCAACCGGATGGACTGGTACAACAGCAGCAGCAATGGGCTCTAGCGTAGTACCAGGCAGTGTTTCCTTCTGTTGTGCATAAAGTCGCCGACTCAGTGGCACCTAACAACAACAATAACGCTGACAAGTGAACGAACAAAAGCCCAGAGAGTCGGAGTAGCTGCAGATACTAGGACCACCAAGCCTCCACCGCCATCTTTCAGGAGTCTAGAGGGTGGACCCTCTCTCTGGGTGAGCACTGTGTCGGCTACATGTTGCATTTCCTGGTTTGTTCATTCCTGTCACAATACTGGTGGCAGGAGCTGCCATCCCTGTCACTGAGAAGATGGCAGTCACCCACCTGGGAACGTGGCCAATACTGTCAACCCAGGAGCTCTGTGGTCACTTCTGTTACTCTCAGCCCTTGGCCCACCCCCGGCCCACCCTGCCCACACTCTGCTCTGCCAGCTTCTGTCTTTGACATGAACAGCGGGCCGAGCTCTTGGACTCTTACTTCATACGTCTCCACCAAGACGTTTCTGGACACAAAGGGGCTCAGAGGCGTAGGGAACCGGACGGCACTGATGTCCTGGAAGTTACGTTGAAAATGTTCCAGATTCCGAGCTTCATAACGCAGGTCCATCTACAGTGGACGGAGAGAAAGGGTGAAGCTGGGTCTGGGCAGGGGATGGTACCATTGGCCCTCATCGCGCTCCTAGGAGCTTGGGGAAGACAGATTGGCAGCTGAGTCTGTGCCAACTCCTCTGGCCACAGTCCACAGCATCCTCAGAGGTCTGGGGTGTCCAGCTTCCTCCTGGTTCCTCCTCTGCCCAGCACCCCAGCCCAACGCCCTCAGGCTGCCCTCTGCTTTCCACCAGCCAGCCCTACCAAGGCCTCCAGAATAGCTCACGGAACTGCTCTATTCAAATCTTGGGGGCAGGGGGGCCCTGCTTGGGCTAGACTTGGAGAACCAGCTCCTGTTTGAGCCTGGCTCAGCTCTCAGGGTGAGCTGTCTTGCTGACAGTTGCTCTTGGACTCTAGTCTCTGGAATCTGCCCTTCCCTCTCTGGGCATCTGCCTGGCTCTACCTCACCATCCTTGGTCCATCTACACCTCCCAGCCTCCATGAACACCCAAGACCGCCTGCGTCTTCCTGCCCTTGTCTGTGGTCTTCCTCCCTCCCTCTTACTGGAATGGTCTGTCCCCCATTTGGTCTAAGTGTGAGCTGAGGGAGCTTTCCCCCTCAGGGCGAAAGGCCACTTACAGATCTATCCCACTCCCCTAAGCCTTATTCACAAGTATTTATTGTCTGTCTCCCTCAGCCTTGGCCTTGTGGTGAGTACCAGAGAGTCCAAGCTGATCCATGGCGCCCCCATGTGTGCAGAGGAGACCTGCACCTCAGGGGTCTCAGGGCTGTGACCTTTTGGATGCAGATCACCAATGTTCCTGTGCCCTCCTGGTAACTGAGGCATGGTCAGTCCTTGCCCTCGACAACCCGGAGGCCAGTGGCACCCCTGACTAGTGCTGGGCACCGGGCACAGCATCCCTGCTTCCAGAAGCACGTGCACACACTACACAGTGACAACGAACTAAGTGCATTCACACTTTACATCCACCAGGGGTCAGGTGGTGAGAGCCTGAGAACACTGGGCATACAATCATCAACCAAATAAACATACAGTACCACAGTGTCCAGGAGAAAACAGACCATTTCAGCTCACACAAAGAAACAACACACTGCCTCAAACAAGTCACCAAAATACAGTCAGAAAGCCTAACCCCAGAAAGGGCATCAGAACTACCTGGAAGGGAATTTTGAAAAGTATTTAAAAGAGCTCTGGTAGCACAGTGATTACGAATCAGGATGCGAACCTCAGGGTCAGCAGTTCGAAACTACCAGTTCTGTGGGAGAAAGTTGAGGCGTTCTGCTTCCGTAAAGATTTACAGCCTCAGAAACCCTGTACAGGGTCACTATGAGTCAGAACCAACTCCACAGTACACCACCACCACCCACTATGGCAACTTAATCCAACTGAGAGAAATATCAAGACAATTACAGATGAGATCAAGGAAAACATGCACAAAACTACAGAAAAAAATGGGTCCCAAATAGACCAAATAATTTTTTAAAATTAAAACATACAAACTCAGAAATTAGAAAGATGAACACTAAGACTTCAGAAATAAATAATACACTGGGAGGACCAAGAAACAGAACTGAATCAACGGAAAGCTGAAATTACTGAGCTTGAAGAAAAGTCAATATTCATCTGCTAGAGGAATAATTAGGAAAAAAAAAAGAACACACCCAGGATTTACGTGGGACACATTCAAGAGGAATAACTTACGTATGATAAGAATTCCAGAGCAGGAAAGGTCAAAAAAAAAAAAAAAGATTGAGAATATTGTCCAAAAGCTGTTGAAAGAAAACTTCCCTAACATCATGAAAAACAAGAAGCTGAACGAACTCCCAACAGGATAGATCCTAAAAGAAAAACACTAAGATATATTATAATCGAACTTTTCAAAACCAAAGGCAAGGAAAGAACAAAACATTACCTACAAAGGAGAATTAACAAGATTAAGCTCTGATCCTCAACAGAAACCAAGCAGACAAGAAGGCAATGGAATGACATATATAAAACTGAAAGCAAAAGCTTGCCAATCAAGCCTCATATATCCAGTGGACCTGCCCATCAAATATGATGGTGACATTAGATCATTTTCAGACAAACAAAAGAATCTGTAAAACCCAGACCAACCTTACAAAAATTCTTAAAGGGGTTCTTTGGACCAACAACAGACAAAACCTGATACTAACATACAGGACAATATCACCTAGATTCAACCCGAATATGTGGTTGTTGTTGTTAAGTGCTGTCGAGTCAGTTCTGACCCGTAGTGACCCTGTATAGGGTTTCCTGAACTGCCAACCTAGCAGTTCAAACGGCCTTGCAGTCTGGCGCATTAACCCACAGCGCCACACCAGGACTCCATATAGAAGCATGCAAAGTAAAACAGACCTGTTGTTGTTAAGTGCTGTCGAGTCTGATCCAACTCATAGTGACCCTGGTATAGGGTTTCCAAGGAGTGGCTGGTGGGTTTCAACCATCGACCTTGTGGTTAGCAATCCAGTGCTTCCAGTAGTGCCACACCAGGGCTCCAATACAGGGAATGTGCTCTCCTTAACACAAACTCCAGCTCAACAGAGATGCACACTAGGGCACATCTCGACTTGACTTGATTTCAAGCTAAGACTATTCTGAAATGTTCTCTACTCAAATATCTATGTTTACTCATTTCATTATACTTTTGGTGAACACTGTTGGTGATTTATATGACTGTCCTTCCTTCCCAATTCCATAATTTCAAAGAAGCTTGGTCAAGAATCTCTTTAAAGTAAACATTTTAAAGCACAATAGAACATTTTCTTATAAACAAATGTCATACACTATTACAATTTTAGAAGTTGCTCAAGTGTACGTTAGATTTCTTAGTACAGATGATAAGCTCTAGCAGATCCAATCTAACAATACAGTTTGGTGGTGGTGGTTATTAACTGCGATCAAGTTGGCTCTGACTTGTGGTGACCTCATACCTAATGGAACGGACTGGTTCTGTCCCATCTCCTCATCAGTTGTAAATTGAGCCACTGTGATCCATTGAGTTTTCACTGGATGAATGAAAACACAGAGCCAGAGACATAGTCACAACAACAACAAAACACCATCAAGTAAAGAGAGGAAACTGTAGTTACAGAACTTCTAAATGAAGAGGAAATTAAATAGATGTCAAGGGGAAAAAATAACCCTAACTGTAACCCTAAAAACTAGTCCAAACCTTACTTTATCCTACCCCTAGCCCAACCCTTACCCCTAACACCAACTCTAGTTCTAACCATAACTCTTAACAATAAACAAAGTTCTAGGCCTAGCCATAGTCCCGAACCTAACCCTTACTCCTTCCCACACACCCACGCCCCAAAAATGACTGAATGGGGAGAATTACCTGCTGGATCATGAGCTTCTCAAACTCCTCCACCACCTCAGGCAAGCTAAGCCACTTGAATCCCGGCAGAAGTCCAAGGGCTCGGCTGCCCATCTTCATCAGCAGTAGGTCCATGTGCACCTGGGCAAGCAGGCCAGGATGCAGCACCTGCAGGAAAGGAGCGGTGAGCACACCTCTCACCTGCCAGCAGGGCCCCCCCTCAGAGGAGTAACAGAAGGGAAGGACTCTGCTCAGCCCATGCCTGCCCTGGCACTGGAGAGCAACTTCTCTGCTTTGCACTGTCTTGCCCCCGAAGTGGGAGGCCTTTTCCTTTCAAATATCTGAGGGCTTCCAACAGTTTGAGGAAAATTTCCATTCTCTCTCAATTCCACAGTAAGTTGATATCAGAGGGTCTCAATTGCTCAAGGGCATAAATGTCAGATTGGGCTTGCTTGATGAGAATGTGGACACTGACCTCCTCCAAGACCCTGGGAATCTGACTCTGGGTGTGGGGCCAGAACCAGCATTTTACTGAGTTCACAGGTAACTGAATCAGGCTGACAAAGACCACAGCCTGATAAATAAATGCTCTGTCTTTGCTGTATGCCATCCAGTTGATCCCAACTCACAGGGACCCACAGGACTGAGGAGAACTGTCCTAGAGTGTTTCCTAGACTGTAATCGTTACAAAAGCAGATCACCAAGTCACCCCCCTCAGAGTTGCTTGGTGGATTAGAACCATTGAATTTTTGGTTAGCAGCCAAAGTCCTTAACCATTGTACCACCAGGGCTCTGTAAATAATGCTCCAGAGCCACAGAACTCGGCAGGACCACAGAGGGGGTAGAAAGAGCCACCTTCAGATTCCAGGCCTGCCACTCATACCTGCAGGAAGCTGGGCATGCCATACAGTGGCTCTCCGCACATTTTAAAATCAGAGAAAAGACTGAAGTTGTCAAGGATTTCATTGTACTTAGATGCCAAATCAATACCCATGGCAGCAGCAACCAAGAAATCAAATGACACAATTCACTGGGCAAATCTGCTGCAGAAGACCTCTTTAAAGTGTTAACGACCAAAGACATCACTTTGAAGACTAAGATGTGCCTGATTCAAACCAAGGTATGTTCAACAGCCTCCCATGCACGGGAAAGTTAGACAGTGAATAAGGACAAACACAGCATCAATGCCTTGGAGTTATGGAGTTGATGGAGAATAGTGAATATTCATTCCATGGAGTGCCAGAAGAGCAAACAAATCTGTCTTGGAAGTAGTACAGCCAGATGCTTCTTAGAAATGACAATGGTGACACTTTGTCTCAGATATTTTGAAGTGTTATCTGGAGGGACCAGTCCCTGGAGAAGGCCATCATACTTGGTAAAGTAGTGTCTTTGAAAAAGAGGAAGATCCTCAACAAGATGGACTGATACAGCAGCTGCAGTGAACTCAAACCTGGGAAGACGCAGGACCAGGCAGTGTTTCATTCTGTTGTACGTAACTTTGCTGAGTTTGAAGGGACTTGATGGCACCTAACAACTTCTCAACCTCAGCTGCTCTTAGGCATGATGTGGAACATAAACGTAAGAATAAAGCAAATGTACCTGGAACAACAGAGGAAGAAGGAGAGTCAGGAATAGGAGGAGAGTAAAGGAGTCCTGGTGTATCGCTATGTGTTAACGTGTCAGACTTCAAAGTCGTTTGAACTGCAAGGCTGGCAGTTCAAGCTCACCAGCTGCTCCTCGGAAACCCTATATAGGGTTGCTATGGGTCGGAACCCACTCAATGGCACTTAACAACAACAAAGGCTCATTGCCCCCAAGAACAGGTGTCTCCTTTGCCAAGAGACCAGAAGAACTAGATGGTGCCGGACCACTACACAACATTTTGATCAGAGTTCACAGAAATCAAAAGGGGGAATGCCACGTGAGGTAAGAGAAATGCTGGCTGTTGAGTTAGATGGGGAGGGCTGGTTGAGATATCCCAAACACTTACTTTCACAGCCACTGGGATGAGGTGACTGGGGCCAGGTGGGTGGTCAGGTGATACGTTCGCCCCCATCACATCGGCTGCGGGAAAGAGCAGCCTTTCAAGAAAGGACTGGTCAGCAAGACTTTCTTCAGGCTTCCATCCCTTTCCAGTACATCCAAAGAGTTCTCCCAGCCTCCCGAGGGCCCAGGCCCTTGAAGGACGCGTGCTGAGGGTCCAGAGACAGTCCTCCGCCAGGAAGGCAGCCTTAGCGTGGGCCTTATACACCTGGGCCACGCAACCTGAGCCTATGGGCTCCAGGCAATCGAAGTAGAGGACCTGGCTCCAGGCCTCACCGAAAGCCTGCTGCAGGGAGCTGCGGGTGTGCGCCCAGGGGTGGGGGCTCGCGCGGACATGCAGCCTAGAGAAAACCCCACAGAAGGCCTCGGAGAAGAGGTCCCGCCTGGTGCTGGCCCACTGGCCCAGCTTGATGTAGGTGGGGCCCGAGGTCTCGGTGGCCTTGAGCAGCAGGCCGAGCCAGAGGGCGGCCACGCGGGGGCCCAGGTAGGTTAGGGGGTACAGTAGGAGGAGGGGGACGAACTTCACGAGCAGCGCCCCGGCCCGCAGCCAGAGCCGCAGGTGCGGGAGGAGACCGTGCCGGGCCCCGGGGATCCCCTCGGCCGGGCCGGACCTCCACTGACTCGGGATTTCGGGGGCCCGCACGCCCACGTCCCCGCAGGTGGACACGAGCCGGGGCACAGTGCCCAGCAACAGCCAACCAAGTTTGCGGGGTCTCAGGGGGCGCTGCCGCAGGTGCGCCCAGCACAGCCTGAGGGACCAGCGCCCCGGCGTCCCCATCTCCGCGACCGGCCGGCCGAGCTTCCACCGCAAAGCAACGCCCCTCCTGGCTACCTGCCGCGGCCGAGGGGGTCTCCCAGATCTGGTCGGGGGCGGCAGGCAGCCATCGTGCGGGGAAGCGTGGGGCGGGGGCCGGGTCGCGGAGACTCCTGGAGTGGAGAACCTAGTTGGGTGGCTGTGAGACGACAACCTCGCAGCGCCGGGTCTTCCGGAAACCTACTTCCTGCAGGGCCGCCCCTTAAAGGGCCCGCAGCCGGCCTGGGGCCGCCCTAACTCCGCCCCCAGATCGTTGTCCCGCCTCCAAACCACATGAGCCTGTCCTTGCTCCTCCTGGGACCGCCCTCGCCACGCCTCCAGGTTGTTGCCCCGCCTCCAGACCTCATGAGGCTGACCCTTGCTCCCCTTTGGACCGCCCTACCCGGCCGGCTCGGAACAACTGTAACTTAACACGAAAGAGCACCGTGGCTGCCCGCTTCGTCCCTCGTCGTCTGTCTTCCCGGAATGGGGGCGCGGCCAGCCACTCGCGGTGTCAGCCGCCAGACCTGCCGTTCCTACCCCGAACCTGGACAGCTGGGGTCCCGGGCCTTGGGGTGGGATCCCTAGTTGGGCAGAGGCGATGGCCTGGACGGTGGCGGGCTAGGGAGACTGGGAGGAGGGATGGCCTCAAGGACAGGCCCTGGACTGGGCCTGGGGAGAGGCTCCAGAACGAATTCTTAGGGCCAGGTCCACATCGTTGAGCCTCATTCAAAATCAAAGACTAGAGGTCAGAGTACAGGGAGACTTCTTGTTGTTAAGTGCCATAGAGTCGGTTCCGACCCATAGCGGCCCTGGATAGGATTTCCGGGGAGCGGCTGGTGAGTTTGAACCGCCAACCTTGCAGTTCAAACAGCTTTGCAGTCTGGGGCATTAACCCACAGCACAGGGAGACTAGAAGTACTGGAGATGGTAGAACCAGAACGAAATGAATGAGATGACACATAGAAAACTGTAACCAGTTATCACGAATTATCAGTGTTGATGTGAGGTGCATCGAGTCCATACCAACACATAGCGACAATATTAAATGGGAATCTGACTGACTATGTGAGCTTTCACCTTGCTGTTAGTAAGTGCTGGCGAGTTAGTGCGAACTCACAGCCACCCTGTATACCAAGGAGCGGTTGGTGGATCTGAACTGCCGACCTTGTGGTTAACAGTCCAGTGTTTACCTTACAGCACCATAACGGGAATCCAACAAAGTTTACCACCATAAAAATTTTTTTAAAAAAGAAAAGGTAGAACCCCCCCAGAAACTGTAGTAATCAGCCACTCACCAGGCAGGTTACAGAACATCAGCATGATGGAAAACTACAGGGTGCTAACATGACAAGCGCTTGTGGGCATGTGGTGTGGTTATGCAAAAACATGCAAATATGAAATTGTGCCGTCAAGGGGGGAAGCAGTACCCACAGCTGCTCACAACCTATTAAAGAAACTACTCTGTCCATAGCAACTGAAACTGACCTTACAGCACAAAGTGGAATTGCCCCATAGGGTTTCCAAGGTTGTAAGTCTTTATGGGAGCAGACTGCCACATCTTTCTCCATCAGAGTGCCAGGTGGGTTCAAACCTCTGAGCACTGAGCCAGCTGGCTTTCTGGTGAGACTTCATTTATCCTTACACAAACCCCAAGAGGATAATCGGTTGTCTTATCCTGGCATTGTTTTCCACAGTGATTGCACCATTTTACAGTTCCACCAGCAGTGTAGGAGGGTCTCAGGCTTTGCACACCCTCGCCAGTATTTATTTATTTATTTAAAGTTTGCTATTAATGCTGGCGTGACACTGTGGTCTAATGTGTCAGACTGCAAAGTCGTTTAAACTGCAAGGTCACTGGTTCAAGCTCACCAGCTTCTCCTTGGAAACCCTATACAGGGTCGCTATGGGTCGGAATTGACTCGCCGGCACTTAACAACAACAACAATTAATGCTGGGATGAAATGATATCAGGAGGTGGTAAAGTGGAGAGACAGAGAAAAAGAGGATGGATGACGCCCCTCCCACCCCCTAGTGAGATGGATTGGCACAGTAGCACGGCAGTGGGTGTAATAGTGATTGTGAAGTTGGCGTAGGACCAGGCGGTGTTTCCTTTGGTTGTGCATGCGGTCGCTATGTGAGCAATAACTTGTGGGTGTGGTCCATCTTCAGGAATTCATGAGATTGCTAGATCAGGCAGATTGCTGATTTACATATATCCAGGGATTTGTAAGCTGGCTGTTCTCAGACTGCTGTCATTAAAACCATGGGCAAGCCATTTTGGCTTCTCTGGGGGGAGGGAAAATGGGAGGTGCCATAGAATTGTATATGGGGAACTGGAACTGGAGGAGGGGCTTTTTGGAGACAAAAATAAAAACTGTTTGTGGTGGGCCATGTGGTGCATCTGCCCCGTGTCTACTGGATTGGGCATCCGATTTTGCAAAATCGAATAAAGAAAACCTCACTCTTGCTAAAATAAGTAGATTGGATTACTTAAGCATTTGTTGGTATGGACAACGTTTCTCACAGCTATGAGTTGCAACCAACTTGATGGCACCTAACAACAACAATGGCTAATGATGGCGATCATTGTCTCATATGTTTGTTGACCATCAGTGGCCTCCAGAAATCTCAGGTACTGGCTGGCTGTCACTGGGCTTCATTCACCTGGGTGGCTGTGGAACTCTGGCCCAAGGCTTTAGCGTCCAGTTCTGGAAGCCAGACCATACCCCTGCAGCAATCAGAACAGAATGGTGAGCGCTTGGCATGGTTGCCAGCCTCCTTGATTTTCATTCTCACCTCCAGCTCAGAACCAATCAGAGAAAGTCAAATACGCTCCTAAACAAACCAGCCACCCCAGGTGCCCACGCCTCGGGCTTCTGGGCTTCTCCCCTGGCGGCTGGCTCCCTTGCTATATCACAGCTCTGAATAAATCATCTCTGTCGTGGTTCTCACGTGGGTGGTCTTTGTTGATTTCTAGAGTCTTCCCAACAGGGATAGGCCGGCTAAAACTATTAATAGTTTCCGGTCCTTGGAATCGTTCCTGCTGGCGCCGTTAACGCTACTACCTCTAGGTGGCAGCACTCACCCGTGAAGTGCAGCCACAGCTCTCCCAGGGTTCCCAGATCCTTGGGAGGCAAGCGGGGAAATACTCCTAGCCCACCTGTCTGCGCTTGGCGTTTCACTAGACCAGTTCACTGTGATTTTAGCATTCTCCAAGTAGCGCTGTGATGGAGCAGTTGTGAAGCAGGGCAGCCCTTGTGACTCAAGTAGCCTGGAGGATGCGGATTGTTGCTACTTGTCCTGTCGTGGAGTCAGTTCCGACTGCTAGCGACCCAGTATAGGGTTTCCGAGGAGTTTTAAATCTTCGAGGGAACAGAAAGCCTCCTCTTTCTCCCGCGCACCGGCTGGTGACCTCGAACCTCAGACCTTGTGGTTTGGAGCCCAGTGCTTATTGGATATTGGCTAGCCCTGGGTTTCTCAACCTTGGCTAGATAATTCTGGTTTTGTGTTAGGGCGGGCGGGAGGGAGGGGTGGGGTACAGGGAGGAAGAGGTGGGTGGGAAGTGTCCTGTGCACTGTAGGCCTCCACCCACTAAATGCCAATGTTGCCCCTTTATTATGTTTTCAAACATTGTCAAATGTCCCCTGGGTGAAAACCACCGGCTTAGGTCCGTGTGAGGAGCCCCTGTGGCACGGCAGGTTAATTGTTGGGCTACAAACTACAAGGTTGGCAGTTCAAGTCCAGCAGACACTCCCAGGGAGGGCTATGAGGTGGTCTGCTCCCTTCAAGACTTACAGTGTCAGAAATCCTACGGACATGTCTGTTCTGTCCTATAGAGGAGTGTGAAGGATGGCTTCTGCTGAGACCTCCCAGCTGCCCCCTACAACCCATTACATCACCTCCCCAGCCCCCACTCCTCCCAACTGTCCAGCCCCACCTCCACATCCTTCAGAATGAAATCTGGGGGAAGGGAAATCCCTTCCTCAGGCCCCGTAAGGAGGCTCCAAACCTGCAGTGGGGATCTGGGCCCCTCCATCACAAACTCCCAGGAGGGGGAAGGCGGGGGTGGGATATCATAACAGGTCAGATTCCTGGGTCCATCTCAGATTCCTGGCACCAAGATCTCTGGGGGCAAGGTCAGACTCAGCATGGGGTCCTCAGGCAAACAGAAATGTGAGAAAGCTGTTCTCCAGTGAGGTGCCCAGCTCATTGCGTGCTTGGTGAGGATTCTCACTTCCCCCCTGCCCCGGGAGTCTGAGGAGATTGCCTGGCAGTGCCAGGAAGCAGTCAGGGAAGACATTAGAGTCAGCTCAGAGCTGGTCTAACTCTGTACTGTGTTCTGGATTCACCAAGAACAGGAAATGTTAGAACTGCATAAACCCATAAACCCGTGCCATAAGTCCCCAGATTACCAAGTCTGTCCCTTAGAGCCCCAGAGCCATATGTTTTTTGTTGTTGTTGTTGCTAAGTGCCATCCAGTAGATTCTGACTCATATAAACCTATATAGGGTTTCCGAGGAGCAGCTTCTGAGTTTGAACTGCCACCCTTGCAATTCAAATGGACCTTTTGGTCCGGTGCATTAACCCACAGCGCTACATCAGGACTCCGTATAAGGCCTATGAAACCACTTGGCCCTGCCAAGGCAACTGTACTTCAAACCATCACATTATATTGTTGTTGTTACGTGCTGCTGTTTCCATGGATACTTGGGGAATGCGGAAATCATATCGACCTTGCGGTTGAAAACAACACTGTGGTCAAGTGTTTATCCTACAGTGCTATGATTTTGTTGGTAAGGGCTGTTGAGTCGGTGCTGACCCAGTGAGCCTGTATAGGGTTTCTGGTTAGTTTGAACTGCTGATCTTATGATGATTCAAACACACCTTGCAGTCAAGTGCTTATCTTACAGCACCATAGTAAGACTCCTACAGCGATTGTTGTTAAGGGCCATCGATGTTTGACCAAGTATGTTGTTGATGTT